TTCTTTTCTTCGACGTTACTCGATTGACGTTCAAAGTTGAGCCATTTTGCCAAGGCTATTAAAGTTTCTTTTGCATAAACACGAGCGAACCATTCAGAAGGAACCGTTTGATAGTAGAGTGCACCACGGACTTGAAGATAGAGTGTAACAATAAGTGTCTAATTTGAATCATATGGATTGAGCCATTTACATTCTTGTTCTATCGAATGATTGAAAGCAATCGCTTCTTGAAAACCCTGCTTAATATTATTGTTATCGTTTCGAAGATCGATCAATTGTATTAAGGCAATACTCATAGGATCACATTGATCCGTTGAAATTTGAATTGATTGGAGTATTTTCTCTTTCGTGTGACCGTTAAGAGCACTGACAAGTAGTTCAATATAGGCGACAAAGATTTCCATAAATATCTCTTGACCAAGCATTGTTCAAATGCAGTTGGTAATTACTTTAAGACGGATCGAAGGTAAATGATTCGCATAGAAATAGGCAATAGGTGAAATGCGAACAAGAGCAGCAGCTGGAGGAGGCAGAGGAGCCGTATAACTTTTCTCATCGGTCATCACTCCGATAGATTCAGCAGCTTGGATAATACTCATCTGTTCAATGGTTTGTTTGATGTGCACACGTGGAGTGAAATAGACACCTGTTGGTGACATGAAACTAAAATGTTGCAATCATATTTTTATTGAACTATTGAACTGAGAAAAAATAATAATCTTACCCATTAATCCACCAATTCATATATTGTTGAGTTAGATATTCTCTTGAATAACCTTCATAATGAGTCAAGCTAACAATAAAACATAACGTAAGTGAAACGTTATCTGACCAGGCTAGACACAAATCGGCTTGATCAGAACATTCACATTCTAGTTCGATATGATCGAGAAGATAGGTTTCAATCGAATAATTACTTAGATTGTCTCCCAAGGTTAAACAAAGGATGGATGTTAGGAGACGATCATTGTTGTTGTTAACTGAGGGATCCACAGATGACATCTGAGCTGGAAGAACCTGCATATCGACCATCCAATCTTTATTACTATAATCGGACAACATTTTCCTTATTCTAGAGACAACAAACGTTTTGTCGAGTAAGACAAAGAATAATATGTGTCAAATGAATAGTCTGCCATGGCGTGATAAAATACACACATTATCTCTTTTTTTTGGCTTTCCTTTCTTTTGCTTAGTGTGATAAGAATAAGAGTGACCTTCGAATTCTTAACTTGTTTGACAATATTTTACGCTCTTTGGCGAGGTCACAATTACTAGAAACTGTCAGTAATGCACCACTTGTTCAATATATTTCCTAATTTGACATTTCAAATTCACATCGGATAATTTTCAACGATAAAAGATAGCATATTTGTTTTCATTGATAATACCACAAAATAATTAAATGATCAAGTGTCAATAACAAAAAATAATCATCATCAACCAGAACACGTGGGCCGATGTATTTTCATCATCATCTTGATTTTTGTTTACTTGTTTTCAACTTTTTTTTTTCTAATGCTATTGTCAGCAAAAACATCTTATTCAATCAAGAACAAGTTCAAGGAAACGTTGATAATGATTGTTGAAAGAAATAGATGTTCTAAACTGAAATGATATTTCTATATTATTTAAGTAATCTTACCAGCTGATCTAACTATTCATTGATATTTGTCAGAAGATCTCGTTCTTTCTGTCATTTGATGAAGTAAATAAGAATGATAGGTTTTTATAAAACAAATGAGAAATAATAATACGATTCAGTATTTAACGAAATGAAAAATCATTCTTCTTCTTATCTGAGCTTCTCAAACACATCATAATTTGGATTTTATCAACTCAATTGAAATCTCGCTATAAACTATGTTATTTACTAGATTAAACTAATTATCATTGTCATCAGTGCTTTGTGATGCACATGGAAAAATATCTAACTATTTATCTTGATGATAAACAAAATCCTCTGATTATAGTCATCTTACCGAAGTTTTATGAGATAGTATTATGATCCAGAATATTCAAGCACTAAAATTTTGATTTATTGAAGCCTAATTGATTGAGATGATACTTTTCTTCTTATAAGAGGAGCTACAAAGATTTTCTTTTATTAAATTTATTGAATTTTTTTTAAATTAGTGAACTTATCGTTCGAGAATGTATGAGTGAATTGCATATTTGGGTGTGGATGGGTATGTTGGTGTGTGCGTGTGCGCATCATCTTACGTACACGCCCACACTCAAAGTGAATAAGAGATATTGTTTTAATTATAATGGACTTCAATTTGTCAATGGAGATTGATTATGTGAAAATGTTGAAGATAGAAACAATTCCGTATAATCAGCATAACGTGCTAGGATATTTTCTCGACTGAAACCAAAGTTGGAAAGAGTATACTTATGACGACCGTGTTTGCCCTGAGGATTTTCCAGAAGCCAATTATGCATCGCTATTTCGAATTCGTTCGACCATTGAAGATTGAAAAAATCATAGATTTGATGAACAACACCAATGGGATTCTTCATCAAATGATCATAAGTAATATCAAACATATTTTTTCTCGATTGATCAACTTCACCATTTTGACATGTACGAAATTTCATTATACATGCGATTGATGTATCCATGCTTTGATAACATCGTTTCGTTATTCTATCTCGGCTGATCGAGTTCATTGCATCAAAATGCTCATTTGCAGCTATCGACGCCAAACTACACCATGAAGGAAGAACTTCGTCAAGAGACCGATGTGTCATAATTAATAATGCATTCGGATAATGTCGAAGAAGCTCATCAAGATAAAAAGCATGGAATGGTGTTTTTAATAACCAATGTGACTTCGGTGCGTCAACCGAATTTAACATGCGCATGAATGTCTCATGATAATCATATGCATAACCTTTGTTCATTTCATTACGGATCCAACTTTCTGCATTAGAATCTTCATTGTCAGATATAAATGCAAACAATGGAAAATAGCCGGCTTGACGCAGGATATGACAATCTTCTTCATTTGGAAAATATGGATGACATGCAGCTATTTGAATGAAGTTACTGGTTAACTGTTCACTTTCTTGTGAAGAAGAGTTTAAAATATCGATTCGTCGTTTTTGTTCGATCGAATCAGATCGTGCAATCGGTGGAACAACGTCAATCATTATATCAGTGAACAATGGTGCACGACAATTCGGATCGCAGGCAAGCAAATTATAGAGTAATGTTGTTCCTGTACGGGCAACTCCACAAATGATCAACGGACCAATAGTAGGTAAATTTTGATCGCGAAATTTATTATGTTCGCTGCATAATTTAGAACACGTTTAAAATTTGTGTGCAAATTGTGAAGTTCTGATAGAAAAAACTTTCGACCAACATCTGTTATCAGTTCATTACGCAGTACACTTTGACGATATGATTCAAACGTATTCAATACATCCTTGTGATAGCTAAATTGACTTTTAGCTTTTTTGGTCAAATCATTCTCATGTAGAAGAGTATTGTTTAATAGTGTCGTATGAGCAACATTATTCTGATCTGATGTCGTACTCATTGATTTCAGTAATATGTTTAAACTATTTTGAATAATTATTTTTCAATAAATATTACTTTTGCTAAGGGTCTATATAAGAGAACAATAATACAAGGACCAACAATAACAATACGCCGGCCACAATCAGGTGATGTTAAACTACTTACTACGTCAACAGCGTATGAAGAAAAAAACAATATTATCAGAGTTTCGACAATAATGCTTAGAGAAACAAAAGAAATGGCACACGCCGCTTATCTTCTTCTATTCTCTTACATTGCTATTTGCTTGACAATGATTTCATGTAATAAAAAAGGTACTAGTGTAGACTTACACTTATCAAATGAAAGCTGATATCTTCCTTTTTTTTAACAGTACTGTAAAAAAAACATGGTAATGATTGAAATTTTTTCTTTTTTCTCATTTTTATTGAGAATTCGACGTTTGGGTCACCTTAGTAAGCATTTTCAAGAAAAACCATGATCTCGCATATAAGTAAACATAAACGAGGGTGTGGTTATGGTGTGAGTGTCGCTGTGGGTTGAGAGAAGAGCTGCACCCATACCCATACACTCACACGCAACCAGAAAGCATGAAAACAATCAAAAATATCTACGAATAAATCATTGAACAAATATTTTGATTAATCTTGTAGGGTATGGGGGTGTTGGTTTGGATAAATTGAAGATTGAGGGTGTGGGTGTGGGTGTGGGTGTGGGTGTGGGGTGTGGATGTGGGTTATTCTTCTTCAGTAACTCATAGCCACACCCACACCACCTACATCCACACCCTTCTCCACCCACACCCTTAAGTAAAGATGATTGTCTTCAACAATCTTAAACGTCACTGTTTGTTTTTAGATAAAATCGTTATTGATTCGATTTAAAAGTAAATCGAACAATTGGTAACATGCTTAACACAAATGTGCTTAGTTTTCATTTTTCCTAAAGTTCAATATCGAGACATCGGATTCAATCGTAGATAAGAATAACGTGAGATTACTACCAATCGAATGTCAAATATGAACGTATCTAGCGTAGAATAGCAATATTATTTCACCAGTTAAATGCAGTTCGATGTTGACATTGACATTCACTTTTTCAATTTATTGAAGTTTTACGAATATATGAAGATTGAATAGATTGTCAAATAGCGACAATCACAGTACAGCAAACAAATATCAGATAATAATGAGAATTTTGATGAATTATCAGAGATGTCCATCGCGGCTGAAAACCTGCCGCTGTCTTTTACATCCATTGGCGCCGCGATGATATAAAAAGTGTAAGCTGCCGCACCGCTGTGGTATAAAATACATGTTGCCGCGGTGCTTCTGCATCTCAACATACTAAAAACATTGCCGTTGTTGCAGCGATATTTGAAGAAAAGGTTACAACACCGCTACTACCATTACATGAAGAAAAAATGCCCTTTGTCGGTCTACAATAGTCATGCAGTCTGGTTTTCACTCGAAATCAATGAGGAATAACGGTTTAGATGCTATAGTAACAAATAACTTCTAAGTATATATAGAACAAGTATAGCTTCTGAGATCACATTGACTATTTAAGTTCTTCATGGAACAACGAAAGAATCTGAAGGAAATGNAACGTTCATCTTCTGCATCTACCTGATGAGATATTACTTATTATTTTGAAAAAATTAAACAATATTGATGTTCTTTATTCATTATTGAACATTGATAATGAACGACTTAGCATTCTAGCACAAGAAGAAATCTTCAGTAACACTCTCAAGTTTGTATCCATTGATAATATTTCTTCAATTGCTCACCACAAAATTGATCGATTTTGCATCGATATATTGCCAAGAATTCATCACAATGTGAAATGTTTTATACTTGAGCCAGTTTTAATGGAACGTATTCTTCTTGCTGCTGATTATCCAAATCTAACTAAATTGAAACTTTTTAATTTTGAACAAAAAATCGCTTTAAATTATTTTACAAGTAAGAAAAATAACAGAAGAATGATGTTAAATAGTTAATCCTTTAACGGCCAGTGGTACAAATATATAGCACTTTTTTGTTTTCGATCGCAGAACTATAATAAACTAGGATCAATGACTGTGGTAGAAAGAACGATGATACTGCATAGATGGACGGAATTAATTTCTGGCTATTTGAGTTCAAGTAACAGTGTTTATCTGTTTCTTCAAGAGGGAGTTTTGAAGAAGATTGCCACTAATTCTCATTTCCAAAATAAACTTGGCCATCCAAAATTCGGCCGCTAAAGGGTTAATGGACAATAGAATGTTTCATTATTTTTTATTTAGATGAATCACCTCTTCGATACATTTTTCAACAACAAATCACAGAACTTATTCTTGGAAATAGGGACAGAAACAGTATGATAGGATCATCAAAGAAGTATACTACAAATGTCTATGGACATATCTTGAAGTTCTTTAAAAATTTGAAATATTTGAGTATTATTGAAACATTCAATCCATCATATCCATGTTTATCACTTCATAAGTTACCACCAGCTACTTTCTTCTCTTCAACTCTTACTCATTTATGTATCAATATGTTTACATTAGATGATTGTCTTTATTTACTTGATGGTCGACTCAAACAATTATCTACACTTATTATTGGAATAAGTTACGTAGGCGAATTTTCATCAATCATCCACAATATGGTAAGTATTGAACGAATAAGGTCGATCATGAGATAAAACTAATTATCAATTTTGTACACCTTTGATTTATTTGAAAAATATTTAAAGAAAAAATTGAACAATTAAAGTTTTCTGAAATTGAAAAACGAAATCTACTGAATTGCCGTAGTCATCATTAACATACAATGTTTACTTCAAAGGAAAGATGAATTTTAAATAAGTAGTTTGTGAATTAATTATATGCCTCATTCATTTTTATTAGCTTTATTAAGATACGTATACTGATAAATATTCCTACTTGTTATTTAGGATGGTCTACCTAATTTGAAATGTTTCTCATTAAAATGTTATGTTCAAATTAATCAGTATGATAATAAAATTCTACCTCTTCTTCATCGTATGTCATTTTTGGAAAAATTAACTTTATATCTTCGTACAAAAAATCGAGCTGGATTCATCGATAATACTCATCTTCAAAATGAAATTCTTATTTATATGCCACGACTTCATTCATTCACTTTTTATATTTCTACTGATAATACTGTTGATTTATTTCATGATGTGCCGAGACAAGATAATCAACGAATTGTCACAAATATCAGGCAACAACTAATGGCTAATATCATGCATTATACTGGTGATAATAAAGCTGTATATCATATCTTCTCACTTCCTTTTGTATTTGATCATCTTGAAGATATTGGCAACATATTTCCTGATACGATATTTAGTTATGTTACATATTTACTGGTACAAGATATATTTGCATTCAACCACGAATTCTTTATTCGAATTGCCCGATCTTGTCCGTTACTAAATAATTTACGTATTGTAAATTTTCAATCACAGTCGACATGTAATCTTAACACATTTTCATCTGATAGTAGCCAATCATATTCAATTGTTGAATATCCTTATCTTACTTCACTTGACGTGAGAACTGCAGATATTGATTATGCAGAACAATTTCTAAATGAAACAAAGACATATGCGCCGTATCTGGCTGAATTAACAATTCATTATCGCAATTTGGAAATGGTAACAAACAATTTTAAAAGAGAAGAAACACGATGGAATTGTGCGAAGGTGAAACGACTAATTATGATAGGCACATGGGTACATCCCAAAGATTTCTATCTTTATTTTCCTTTGTTATAAATAAAACTCTATTTTGATTTGTTGAATAAAATCAGTCATGTAAAATCAATTTCGAAAAAGTCAATCAATTACTTTTTCGAAGAAACTTTATTGAGAAAAAAAAGACAAATTTAAATGGAAAATTTTTGAAAAATGTCTTATACGTGTTGAACTTGTATCATTGTGATTTTGATTAACACCACAACAATTGTTATTTATGTTTAAATAATTCTAAACTTAAATGTTGAATATCATTTTCTTGATTGCACGACATGTTTTCAACATTATTTTCTTTATTACACGAGATTTTTTCTTCAAGTTTTTCTAAAAAGAAAAAAAAACAATATAATCATCATTTCACTTTGATTGCTTCTTACTTCGATCGTCTTGCAACAATTCGATGGATACATCTATTTGACTCTCGTTGATAACCAATTTATCTATGTATTTTCTTTTATTTTTCAGCATTTCATCATCAGTTTGTTTCTTTTCTTTTAACTGATTGTACATGCATTCTTCAGCAGCAATACTATTAATTAGATTTTGTTGTTCTTGTTTTTGTCGTTGAATCTAAAGAAAAAGAATAATTTTCAGGTCGTTTTAATTGAATTATACCTCTGTATCGACATTATCGATCATTGCAAGATAATTCTAAATAGAATTTAAAAATATATTTGGAGTTATAAGATATTTAAGAATTTATTACTAAAATATCATCATCTTCCATATTAACTAATGTATTCTCATAATTATCCGAATGAATATTTGTTGTTGCACTGGCAACATCTTCAACATTTTTTTCAATAACGCTCGACTCCATATTAACTTGTTTATCATTAGGTATGCACCAGTGCCAGTTAACTGGGTACCAGTGGCACTGCGTATATATTTAACTGATCGATGATTTATTATAGGGGTAGTCTTCATATCTCTTGAAGCTCTATCTAGGGGTAGTCTTTATAACTGTTCACGGGCTATTGACAGGTAGTCCTTACAGCTGTTCAAGGGCTATCTAGAGGTAGCCTCTATAACTTACTACCAAGGACAAAATTAATGCAAATCGTATTTTTGCTGTAACCTGTGACAGAAACAAGACAGAGGCCTGTCATTTTCACCGTTGAAAAGAGGAGATAAAGACGCATCGCATTGTATTTTACAGACTTTTTGACCTGAGTTTTCCAAGGTTTTCAATTGAGCTTTTTGAAAAGCAACGTACTCGATAGGTGGCTACATCGAATTTTCAATCATCTGGTGTGCATTGAAACTGAAATTGAAGATCTATGAAACTGCGTAAGGCTCAGATTTTTAGCTTCAATCGTTCAGAAAATATAGGTATTCTGGTGGAAATCCTAAGCCGTTTTTTCTAGCAGTCCCTGTGAAAAAAATCACTTTTTTTGCTTTTTTTTTTTGATAAAAACCATTTTTCCGCTACGTTGTTTAGAAAATTGATTCAAAGAGCCTCCGAAAACACATTAGAAAAACCTGTAATATACGGTTCGATGCGTCTTTATCTCTTTCCAACGGTGAAAACAACAGGCCTCTGTCTTGTTTCTATCACAGGTTAGACCAAAAATACGATTTGCATTAATTTTGTCTTTGGCAGTTAGGTATGCACCAGTGCCAGTTAATTGGGTGACCGGTGCGACTGGGTATATATTTAACTGATCTATGATTTATTAAATCATCGGTACTTTTCTCTGTGTTAGTACGTTACAATTATCTAATTCTGGTGCCACTAAAATATTCATTAGAATTCAAATTTTGACCAAATTTAGTATTCTTCTATTATTAACGATCTAATTACCATATTACCACCAATTATCAAAATCTAAAACAGTTTCTTATTTACTAATCATCTACTTCTGAAAGTATCATTGACGAATGATTTTCTCGTATTATCGTCTTTTATGATACTTTCTATCGCTAAGAATAGCTATTCGACATCTTATATTTATTTTACTGTTTGTCTAATAATAAATTGGAAAGAAAGAATATTACTTATTATAACAAGACTTAAAGAATTTAGATTCATTTTATACAAGTGTTGGAATATCATAATTACTTCAGAGAATCTTTGTTTCTTGAATACTGATGAATACCAGTTATATAGTCTGTGTCTATACTATTTTCATATAGTATTAACACTTTCGATTACAGCTTATGCAATGGTGACGTTGGCACTTTGTTTCATACACTCAAAATAAGATCAGTTTGATTTCATTAGAACCTTTTATTCAACAATCGAAGTGTGAATACGACTAGCAAATAGCAAAAGACAATACATTGTGTTACTTGTGCGGTATTGTAATTTGAAATACTTTGTTTACTTAAAATGGATCCGTAAACAATAATTCTTCTCTTGAATTATAATTTATTTTTTATGATACAGACGGCTTAAGTTCAAATATTTGAGAAATCTCCAAAAATTAAATGTTGCACAAAACGGAAGTGTACCAGAGTGGAAACGAAGGAGCGCAGATTGTAATAATGATTCATATCTTATTTGTCTCATAATTAATGACTAAAAAGATGAGAGAACAATAGAAAACATAAAAGGCCGGGACGGGCGAGTCAAGCTATTTTTCGAGTCGAGTCGAGTCAAGTCGAGTCAAATTTTGTTTTCGATTATTTCGTGTTCTGTTTATTTCGATAAAAACTATCAACAACAAATTTCATGATACATTATCCAATTCCTAGTTTTTATACCCAAAAAAAGAACAGTTCTACACAAGATAGAATGACATAACTACCATAGGTTTATAAACAAAATAAGAATATCCAAATCAACTCTTCTCTTGTACAAAGTTTCGCACAAAACTAACAAAAACATCTTTTTTTTGTAAACAGAAAATGAAACTTAAATCTGTTTACAATCAGAAATTATCTATTACTATTTAAATTAATGTTTTATTGCACTTTAAAGATGTTAACATACAAATATTGCCTTGTGAAAATCTTGAACGATGCCATCTCATTAAAAGACCAGTTTGAGAAAAGACACGCTCAATTGGTGCTGATGTAGCAGGGTGTGGGTCCCACACCCACACCCTCACGTGCACGACAATTATAAGATTATATAACTTTTATGTGTATGCTGGTCTTCTACAAATGTTAAAGACTATCATCGTATATCATTTTATCTGGAAGATTACTCATGATGCATGTATCAATCTTTAATTTTTTTAGGAAAGGTTTCCGAGATATGCTTTTACTTTCTACTAGAATATATTAGAGATTTTAGAGTTCGATATCTGGACCAACATGGTAGAACACATTTATCTCCGCATTCATAAATATATCGATAATAAATCAATTTTAAGTCCTGAAAATATTTTCGAGATACTTCAATAAATCCAATTTGAAGCAAAATAGTTCAATGAATCACGTTTTCATTATTAGTTGCATCTCACTGGAATATGTACACTTTCATATTTTACCGAAAGAGAAACGTGAAAGAACCAGTAAGTTTCACGATTCTTGAATGAAAGCATAAGCAAGTACTGGCTATATAAATAGTCCAAATATATTTTCATAATAATAAATAACGAATAAAAATTCAAATATGCTAAAAACTCGGGAACCTAGGTTCAAATGTAATTCACACGATATGTGACATTGATTTCGCATTATTCTGAATTTTTCAGAAGTCTTCAAGACAGCAACTAACACATTGACGAAAATTCTCCATCAGTATCTTTAGCAAAAACAGTGGCTACTACAACATGAATATTGATCATCATTCCAATCATGTACATGTCAGTGTTCTTATTCTATCTCATCATGAATTTTTTTTTTTTTTTTTTTTTTTTTTTTTTTTTATTTCTACTTTTTTTTTTCCATGATGATTTGGTTTTCTAGTGGGTTAAAAAAGAGGGAATAAGGACAAAAAAA